CACTGATCGACCCGCCTCTCGACTGTCGTCCCCTCCGCGCCAAGTGACCTCCTCCGTCGTCTCTCCCTCCTTCTTCCATATTAGTCATCCAAAAACTATGTCTCACTCAACAGAGCAATCATTTCGGAGCAATCTCTCCCAATTTCGCTGGGCACAGGGGAATAACGACAACCAGCAGCAAGACGCAGAACCGCAGCCCGGGCGGTTTGCGCGATTTTATAATGCCATTGGAGGTGGATACATACCCTTGCGCTCGAACGAGCGATCAAATGACGAGGAGGCATACTTTGCATTGTCGAGATGGGAGAGGTGCGTTGATTTCTGTTATTGCGCGAAGAGGGTGAGCTGAAGTATTGAACCAAAATGCCCTTGGTATTAAATCCCATGATGTATCATTCGTTTTCATTTGCGCCTTAGATTGCTCGGCTTTGGTGGCTGTTTGCTGGGGGCGGCCGTATGCTTCTTCGTCGCGTTCGTAACACTGCCAATCCTGGGACTTCGACCAGCGAAGTTCGCCCTTGCCTTTAGGTGTGCTTGCTGTCTTGCATGACAAGATGTATCCCCTTTAACTGATACGACATGATGGTACACAGCCTGGGGAGTCTGTTAGTCATGTTTGGGTGAGTTGTCTGAACCCTGGATACTCACCATCCTGATCGCTCTGAATTGCAGATTTGCCGTCCTTGTTGGACCAATAAGCCATCTCAAACACCTGATATCCAAAGAACGTCTACCTTTTTCGGCCGCTTACCTTGGCAGCTTGGGTCTCACGTTATACTTCGCGTTAGGTGTAAGCCTCGGCACATATGATTATCAATCGTGGAATAACCATTTGCACAGGCACATTCATACATTGGCTCTCTTGTTGGAGCCATTATACAAGTGCGGACCATTATCTTAGACTTTTGGAACAGAGATACTAAGCCAGAAATGTACAGGTCATTGCACTTATCTCATACGTTCTTGCATACTTTCCTGGCGGGGTCACAACTCTCCGTTTTGGCTCGCAGATGGCATTGCGTGGTGCAGGGAGCTTGCTCCCATTCTAGATGCACATCTATCCTCATGCTTTTCTGCGATCAAACATACGAACAGTTTTTATGTATGCTTAAGGGATATATATATTAGCTACATTTCATTTCAGTCGTGCATCGTCGCTGTCGTATATGACCATACAATCAATCATGGGTCGGGTCACAGCCCGTTTTGTGAACTCTCCTCCAGCTGGTCATGCAGCCCCGTCGTGTCCTTCAGTCTGCGCGACATGATTTCGACGTAGCTGTGGTACGAGTGCCAGTCTTTCCCAAGGGTGTCTTCTGTCTGCTCATATAACCCCAGTCAGTACATCTGCGCTAGTGCTTAACATTACCGTTGGGACGTACCAGGTCTAAGGTTTGGAGGCGTTGTAGAGCGGGAACGAGCTTCTTGGTAACTTCTGCTATCAGTGTCTCCACGTCCGGAGACGTTGCAAACCGCATTGTATGCGATATTGAGCCCTTGAGATCCGGATTGTTGATGTGCCTTCCTTCGCAGTAGAAGACCAGATGTCGCCACAAAAGCAGCAGGAGCATCTCCAAAGAACCTGCAAGTCTATGAGCCACGTGCCCCTTAGTTGTAGCATGTACATCACATACTCAATGCAATCAAGGCTGTGCGGCTTGCTTCAGTGCGCCACTTCTCCAGCTCTCTGCTGATAAGCGACTGTTTTTGTCGGATGTCCAGATTCCCCAGCAGGCCCTGATCAGATACGGGGACGATCTGTACGACCAGATGAGTTACACTTGAGGATTGGAAATGTTCAATAGCACGTACGTCTTGAATGTTATCTACTCTGATGTGATTGCGCGACGAGAGCTCTGCGGTTAGCGAGATAATTTGCCTCAGCGATCCTGCCAGATCGTCGCACAGATGATGTAAAGCTTCAATAGTATCGCCAACTGAAGGAACGGTGGCTAAAGCGAGGATCAGACATGACGAACACTCAGAGTAGATTCAGATCAGACTTGCCCAACACACGAGTCGACCGCTCATCTTGCTTCGGCGTCGTGATTACAGGAGAGAGGACAAGGGTAAATTCCGGTTCTAGATATACTCAGCAGCGCTACTTGATATACTGAGAGTCACTTACCTGTGAAATCACTAGCTGTTCCCAGATAGGCGATGATAGCTTTTTGAAGAAGTCGATCCTGCTGACGAACAGTGACGCGGAATTTCGACTCAATGCCAAAACCTTCATCATAATGAGAACCTCACTATTTGTGGATTCTGAGAAGGCTCACCTAGCCCACCGACCCCGGCATCCGAAAATTCCGCGTCCGTACGTGGCTTGATATCATCCGACCAATGCTGATTGCCAAGACATCGCGCAGCCAAGCCTGAGATTGCGGCATGAATGGTCCCGAAGCCAGAGTTTGAAAGCTAATCACGCATTAGATATCGGCAATTTTGGACAACTAAAACACTCACCAACTCCGTTTTCGGCACCAACTGAATAACACTTGCGGACAACGACACAAGTAACCGAATCTCTTCCATCAGGGAAAGCGAGAGCTCGTCCACCTCATTTTTCAATAGAAGAATCACTGTGTCTCTATGACCAGACAAGAATTGCAGAGCCTAAAAGGCGACGGAATTTAAGCAATGGTCACACAGTTGAGATTTGGAAGACCAACCTGTGTTGTAGCGGTAGTATGTCTGTTTCCGAGGGTCACTACCATGCCACTGACAAGCTGCAGTGTTGGGAGGACCAGTTGGTGATATCGTTGAATCGCCGATGGCAAGAATGTGTCGTGGTCTGTTAAGAAGATCAGAGCTGAAGAGATGGCGAATTAAATCATTAAGTACCTAGGAATGCTTGGTCTCCCTCAGGTCGCGCGTCTAAGTAATCGCATCCGGCAAGGATTGGGATGACCCTCGCTTCCAGTAACCTCTCAGCACCCTGCCTTGTTTGTGACATGCGGATAAGTAGCGACATTTTCGCTTCATACACATAGAGTGGATTGAGGTCATCTAAATGTGGACTATGAGTCTCTACCCCGCTGGAAGGGCAATGTACCCTTACCCGGATCCGGCTTTAGAACCGCTTGTAACAATGAATCCGACTCCTTTAAGCTCCCAACGAAGCCAGACATAAAGCCGTGGCGTGCTAGCGCTTGGAAGATAGCCGGGTACTTTTCCGATCGAGACAGCCGGATGAGAGAATCAAGTAGCATAAATGCCACAGATCTCCAGACCTCCGAACCATCTATAGCATCGCGAGAAATGATAGTCACCAGCCGTTCCATCCCGGACTTGAGGATAGCCAATGTACTGTTCAGGATGGCTGAACCTTGCGTGGAGGTAGTATCAAGTTGTCCGGATGACGGTGAAGCAAGGCTATCACCGAAAGCGAAGTCATCCCTGCTTGCAGACATCGACATCGACAATGACATGCCAAAGGAAGACGAGTCGAAGTCAGGATCTTTCTTTATGTCGGCTGACATGACTAAATGGAAATAATTGATCAAGGAGGCATAAAGATTACCCCGCACGAGTTCTAGGTGCCCATACTCCGCAACGCATTCCAGAATGCTGCGTAACAAAGCATTGACTCGCTCGACTGGAAGAGTGCCAGCTTGCACGTCACCTCCAGCGGATTGCAGGATCACTTGATGGTGTCTGTCCTCTCGTAACTTGGTAATTGCAGACAGCATGGCCTCTGCTATCAGCACTGCAGTTGACTCCTGTACGTGAGCAGACCGTAAGGTGAGCGGCATGACATGCAGCAGGTCGAAGAGCATGTTCTCGCGACGATCCTGGGGAAGTCGTTCAAAGCATTTGATCAGTGACATGTCCAGCAGCCTACGCCATGCCTCGTATCCATTGGCAACTGCATGTAGAACTTCTCGACGATGATTCTCAATAGCGCAGCTCTCCATAATGTATGATGTCTCCGTCATCAATTGTTCAAGATGCGCAGGTGTAATAACACGGTTTTGCATGTGAAGCGTTCGTCTTGCCATTGTCAAGATGGAGAGGAGAGCCGCTCGATCCACAATTTCGCATCCCGATTCATCCAGCTGTAAACAGCTCTGCAAATTCAGTTCACCTAAGAACTGCAGCTCCACGGCTTTCACGGTCAGGCTGTCCGACCAGTCGAAATCTAGTGATTGGAGGAATTCGACCATCCTAAGATGAGATTGGCCGACTTCATGGAATGGCCGGAAAGCATCCGCCTCCCAAGAACCAGCACCGTCCTCGAGATAGTCCTCCTCATTGCCGAACAGAAGCTCAAGCAGTTCCGCAACACTCTTGTGATGGCCCTTGTTCGTCAACGCATGTAGTTCCAAGGCAACTAGTTCTAAAATCCAAGAGCGCAATCGCAAAAATGCAGCCAAGTTGTTCACCGTTGTCGTCACTCGTGAGCCATCGCCATAAATCAGCTCGATGAAGGGCACCTGCTCTGTCGCAGGGGCTTTGAATGGCACAGCGGAGAGATGGCGAGCAAAGAAATCCTCGCGAGTCCGCAAGTAACGCATTACAAATTCAGAGGTTCGTGGATGCTTGCAAAGCTGATAGACGACATGGTAGCATCGTTCCGCAAGTGCGGGCAGGATAGCGAATAATGGGTCACCCGATACAGGATGCTTCCGAGCAGGGCCCTTGCCCTTCAATCGAGGGATACCGGCATTAAGCAGATCCAGGATGGTATGCATACACGATCTCCGGGCGCCGAGTGCATGCGGATCTTGTATTTGGTCTTCTGCCGCGGCCCCGCCAAACAGAAGGAAATGAGCGATGTTAGGGTAAGGTTTTCCCGGCTTCGTGTTCTGGACGAACAGGTCGAGGATAGCGAGACGAATAGATTGTAATAATGCAGGGGAAGGCTCATCAGTGTCAGGTGCACCAGCTCCTGTCAGCTGTTCAGCCGCATTTTCGGCCAATTCCACCTCTTCTAAGACATCTGTGTCCATGATCGTCTGAAAGCCGTTCAGAATACGCACCGACTCTTCGCTTCGGTCGATCAAAAGTGCCAACTGAGAGAGGGAATTCGATGCCGCAAGAGCTGTCAAGATCTTAACACTCAGTAACATCAACTCTGGGTATGCAGGATAGGCGATATATGCTGCAACTGCCGGAACATACTCAGGAGAGTGAGACAGTGCTTGGTCGAGACGGACGAAATAAGACGATGAAGGAACCTCGCCAGTGACCGCCGTATCGTTGATATCAGAGAGGAGGGGTAAGAGGATGTCGAGGAAGATGTCCTGGATCTCAAGCACCCGGTTAATGATCCGCAGAACACGCATGATAGTAGTCCGGAAATACGATTCTTCAGCAGCAAGACCCCTGTCGAACCCGTTCAGCCCGTCGACGAGGTAGGACAGAATGCTATTTTGTAAAGTCGAAGAAGTGAGCATGCGTTTCATCATGTCATAACCCGGGTGCACTGCTAGCTGTAGAATCGCGTCGCCCTTGGGCTGAAGTTGTATTGTGTTCGCCACTAGAGACTCGAGTTCAAAACCAGCTAAACAGCGTTCCACGAAAGATAGACAGAGGTCGTTAGTACGCCATCGGTCCGTTGGTCGCAGATATTCTCTCGTATTGATTCGGGAAAAGACGTTGTCGATGACGAATGAGGAAAACGGGCCAACGCCGGGTTGCCGGTATGGGTGTCCCAATGTCTCCGGAATTGTATTAATTGGCTCAGTCTCCGCAACTCGGTCCTTCATCGAGATATCCTTCGGTGTGTGGATGAGGGTTCCAAGCAACTTGAGGAACGGGATGGTTGCAGGGTACATCTTATAGACAGTTTCAACCTCCTCAAGCTCGACCTCTACACCCTTGACCGCAGGTAACGGCGTGCCAAAGCCAGAGCTGACACGTACATTGATGACCTCCATTCTCTCCATCAGGGTCCACACTAACCGACATATATCCACACCCGCAACACCTGCTCCAGCCTGGCAGAACGCAGCCAGAGTCTCGAAAATAGCACCTTTCAGCTCTAAAGGTATGCCAAGAGGGACCAGCGAAACTAGTGTAGGAATGGCACGAAAACGGGCGTGACCACTGATCGTGACTCTCACAGCTACGGAATGGGTGACGACTGTTGATAAGAGACGCAGGAATGATTGGGCTAGCAGGACGTCTTGTTGGGTAAATGCCACTTGCGGGGGTTGGTGAGACTGCTGTGGTTGCCACTGCTGCGAATTAGGAAAACCTGACTGGGATTGCCCCATGCCCTGAGAAGGTGGTGGGTTCCGAGAGCCCGTACCAGCTACCACCCAAGAATCTAGGAGTCCGAAGATAGCGCCCCACGAAATTGCAGCGCCTGTGTTCAGATGAGCACTAGACGACGATAGCGAGCTGCCTGGCACCACATCGCCTCCGCCTCTTGCAAGGAAATTGTACGCCAACTCACTGCATTGTTGGCCCTTTGCCAATCCCGCAAGCATGTCATACAGTGCCATCATCATGTCAACGTCTCGCGCTTGGGTGGACCATACTGCCCACTGAAGAAAGCCTGGCAGCTTTCCGGAAATGGACTCTAGGGCTTGACTATACGTTGATCGTTGACTCTCGGCAACGACACCTGCACCCCAAAAATGAAGCGCTCGTTCCGGAGGGAGAGTGGAGTAGAGCAGACCAATCAGAGAGAAAAGGACAGCCATGTCATTACGAGGTGGTGCGGCAGGTTTGTCTGATTCAGACCGTGCAGAAGGCTGTGCTTGGGATGACCGAAAACTTCTAGACCTGTCCCCTCTTACCCCAGTGAGAAGTAGGTCTTCCTGTCGCTGCTTGATCTTGCGCAATTCTGATGACGCTTGACTAATCAGTGAGCGGATCAGGCTTTCACATGCCTCAAGGATCACTGGTTTGAACTCTTCTGCAGGAGTTTCCGAAGGAGAATCTGGTTCTTGCTGCGAAAGAATCCCTAGCGCAAAGGATACCGGCGGAAACGACGTTTGTTTGCTCTGGAGCTGACCAACGAGGCGTAATTGGTATGTAAAGCAGTCACCTTGTACTGCATTCCATATTTGCGTTTCCAACTCCTCAGTCTTAAAACCTTCCACGTTCTCCAGCGAGGGGTTTCGGTGCCTAGTTTCCGCTAAAAACAGTGTCCATTTGAGCAAAACTGTTGCCTTTATCCCCGGTTCCCTCCATTGCGTTGCGACATCTAGCTTCTTCTTCATATATGACATGAAGCTCTTATCGTTGATTAACATTTCCCGCGCTCGGCCTCCAAGTGAATCGGGCTGCACGATGTCCAATGCAGCAAGCACAGTGGTAAGGATAGAAGTCGTCATAGCGTGTCGGGGATTTCCCTCGAGCCAGTCAATAAGCTTGGAAATTTCGGCGGGAGCGAGGTAACCCATGCGACCGATGAAGTATAAACTGGTCGCGAGTATGCGCCTCTCATATTTGAGAGAGTCGCATCGAGCAGTCAACACGTCTGCACCCAAAGAGCCAGTGCATCCTAGTAATGATACGCATCAGTCAATGAAGTAGGGCATCGCACGAACTAAGAGAAGGCAGCGGCAGGCGCACGTGGAGCATTGGCGTACAGAGCAAGCTCGTAGCATATATGCCGTAACATAACATCTGTAGGACAAGCAGATTTTTGCAAACGAATAGTGGCGCAAGAGCTTATCCACAAAGAGGCGGATGAGATCATCAATCTGTGTTAAAACGCAGTGTGCTAGAACACCAGCTCATCAAATTTTATCTCGCTTTCAACACTTGTTACGTTCATGCTAATCCCATAGGGTCTGTATGGCACCCTCCCGCAGCGCGCCACTGGCCAAACCGAATTTCGTAGTAACGGTAGGGCATGCAACTCACCTTGTCCGGATGATAAGACGGTATCACTCTTCGCATTCTGTCGAGCTGTCTGAGCTTTCGCAAGCACGTTCCCAAGATTATGTATCTCTTGGAAAATCTTCAGCGTAAGCGAAAGTCCCCCCACGGTACTACGGGGCGCCGGGAGTAACTGTTGGCGGACAAACATGTCCAGCCGAATGTATAAGTCTGGTGCATTTCCCGTTGAGCCGAGGTCAGCGGCCTCGATGATGTAGCGGAGACAGTCGGCAAGGTGGCGACGTCTGAGATGAAATTCAAGGATGGTGGCTTCAATACAGCGCTCAGGAGACACGTTAGGGTTTTCAAACATAACATCTTGGAGAAGGCCAGCGATGTAGCGCTCCGAGCAGTCGAGTTGTTGTGCGACGAAAATGGCCTGCCTTGCGAAGTCCGAATTCACTGCAAGCGACCTGCCTTCTACAGTTGTTTTCCCTGATAGCAAGATGCCTTCACACTCATTTTAATACCACACAACATGTATGTACGTACCTGACTCGAGTTCGCGCTGTTCTTGAGCATTTCGTGGGCTGATGTCGAACAAGGCGACCAGCTGTGGCTTATGGGCCATGAGCTCCTCGAAGAATTCCTGCTCACCATTCTTGAGCCCCCTCGAGCTAAATGCAGACAGGAGCACATTCCTGAGGTGTGATATGGAGCCCATGAGACAGAGGTGGGACCAGGTCAAGCCCAAGCGAGTGGTGGTCGTTAAACACGACCAACGCGTCAATTCACGCGTCGCGTTCTGCGGCAAGCGCCCACCCGGGAAGTCGACGACCACGCTTTAGCCACGATGCCCACACTTACTCCGGCCTCACTCGTAGTCGAGACTCTCGTGTCGCTGCTCTCCGTACCATGAGTTCTATAATATACCGACAATATAAGGGCGAGTCTGATTTGCCTCACATAATGACTCTCGTTCAGCATGAACTGAGCGAGCCGTACGTTATATACACATACCGATATTTCCTGCGGCAGTGGTGAGTCAACCACATCAGTATGTCTAACTTCACGGCTCATCTATCGGCTAGGCCACATCTTTCATTTCTCGTGAGTAATCACATTGCTTGGCCCGTAGAGTTACACTGTAGTAAACCTGGCTGTACAGGCTTATCCAGACGAAACGTCTGGCCCTGTAGGTGTCATCGTCTGCAAACAGAGCATGCACAAAGATGTCACCAACAGAGGGTACATTGCTATGCTCAGTGTGCATAGGGACTGGCGTAAACGCGGAATTGGTGAGTATGTCGTGTGCGCACTCATCATCGCTTGTTAATTCTCGTCGATATCATAGCTAGCACTCTTGTGCGTCGAACGATTGAAATTATGAAGCTGGACGGGGTGGAGGAAGTAAGTCGCTCTCTTCTAATTCTAGACTCACGCGTTTATCTTGCACTGTTAGGTCGTCCTTGAGACAGAGTATGATAATTCCGCAGCCCTTTCCCTCTACGAATCTCTAGGATTTATACGAGAGAAACGGCTGTTCCGCTTCTACCTTAATGGCAAGGACGCGTTCCGGCTTGTCCTCGTCGTTCCACCCGTCGAGTATGATGAAGATAACGATGATCTCAAGACCCACCCCGCTCTCATGAAACCACTCTACCTCGCACCCCCGCGCACCATTGCCATTCCGGCTCTACCGTACGACTCCGATGACGAATCATCCCGCTGAGCTTTACAGCTTGCGCATATACCCAGTCCGAGCATAGGTTCTGGCTGCTTTTTCCGTAACGGTCCTTGGCGTGTTCCAGCACAATACTGTATAATATAATGTTGTAACGTACTGCTACTCTGCTTCCCTGCTCCATCCCCTGTACCGCGCATACTTTCAAGTTTGTCATCCGTAGCTCACCTCTCAGGCTTTTCCATACGGTTCACGTCAACTATTGGCAAAATAAGTTATACCTATATATCTGCGTGATGTTTGCATGAGAGCCCTTCAGTGTCATACAGGGAATCTGAATTCTCGCAAGAAATTATTGAGCTGTTGTGGAATCCACGAGATGAAACGACGAAGTGGTCATGGGTTTACGTGGATATATTCAATACGCTGCAGCACTGCATATGAAATATCGAGAGTGCCGGCGAAGTTTCGTGTGAACACGTAGCTAGTACAAGACCACCTGCACAAGCGCGACAGCGAGGCCAGTTTACAAGTATCGCAATATTAATCTGGAAGCGTCTGGCGAGTTGCCTGAAGCATAGCATCGACGCCCAAACCGCACAGTCAGAGTTTGATGTCGTGTCGCAGACGTGGCCACAGAGCATGGTTGGGCATAGCACTTGTCATTTGGGCGACTCGGTACTACGCCGCCGAGGCGATGTGCAAAATTGATTGGAGACACGTATGGGACCCCGAACCGTCCGTCTTCCAATCAGGTTGGGAGCGCTTCACTTCTAAACGATTATCATTAATTCTTCTCTAATGCGTCTTCTAATGACACTACAACTACCCGGCAAGCGTTCCCCGGGGTCCGCATTCTACAAGTGTCGACGTGGCGCATTGACACACCCGAATATAAAATGCGTGTGTTGGGCGCCTTGACGTCCAGCACTCCCTCCCACCTCCACGATGTCTCGTCCGACGCGGACACAGTCGCGACGCCTGGTGTCGTCGCTCTCGCTCCTATTTTTCGCACTCACCGCGCTCCTTCTTTTGTGTCCCGTCGCTGTCAGTGCAGACGAAGACAAGCGGGGCGAATATGGCACTGTCATTGGTATTGACCTGGGTACTACGTAAGCCTTGTCTCGCTTATTCGTGTGTGCGTGTGCTAATGCGCATGTGGTTGTCCGACAGGTATTCATGTGTAGGGTGAGTAGGAGGTCATTGGGCTGGGTCAGATTGCGGTGGGCTAATGAGGTTTGGACACAGCGTGCAGCGAGGAGGTCGTGTTGAGATTATCGCGAATGACCAGGGTCATCGGATAACACCATCATGGGTCAGTTTCTCGGAAGACGAACGATTGTGAGTGTTCTGGATCTCGGCAGTGTGGGCGTATGTCCCAGGGTGCCGAACTTCTGTCCGTTCTGTGGGTCATTTCGTGAATCCGCTAATCACTGACGTTGCAGAGTTGGTGACGCCGCGAAGAATGCCTTCCACTCGAACCCCGAAAACACTGTCTTTGACGCTAAGCGGCTCATTGGACGCAAGGTGGATGACCCAGAGATCAAGCGTGACCAGAAGCACTGGCCTTTTAAGATTGTTTCAAAGAATGACAAGCCTGCCATTCAGGTGAAGCACCGCGGCGAGAACCGCGACTTTGTAAGCATCCATCTAGTGTGCAGGGAGCATCAATTTAACGCGTACTATTTGTAGACTCCTGAGGAGATTTCTGCTATGGTGCTTGGTAAAATGAAGGAGACTGCTGAGTCGTTCTTGGGCAAGCCTGTCACTCATGCTGTTGTTACTGTACCCGCATGTGAGTTTTCCGAGTATACATGGAGTTTATATCAGGGTACTAAATTATCTACGCGCTATAGACTTCAATGACGCCCAGCGTCAAGCCACAAAGGATGCCGGAACGATTGCTGGTCTGCAGGTCCTCCGTATCATCAATGAGCCCACAGCGGCTGCTATTGCATACGGTTTGGACAAGAAGGGTGGCGAATCGCAGATTATTGTGTACGATCTTGGAGGAGGAACCTTCGATGTTTCTCTCCTCTCGATCGACGACGGCGTCTTCGAAGTTCTGGCAACCGCAGGTGACACTCATCTTGGAGGAGAAGACTTCGACAACCGCGTGATGGACTACTTCCAGAAGCAGTACAAGAAGAAGACAGGCACAGACGTTACAGGCAATCTGCGCGCTATGGGCAAGCTCAAGCGTGAAGTCGAGAAGGCCAAGCGCACGTTGTCCAGTCAGCAGTCAACTCGCATTGAGATCGAATCATTCGAGGGTGGCAATGACTTCTCGGAGGTCTTGACACGTGCTAAGTTTGAGGAGCTGAACATGGATCTCTTCAGGAAGACGATGAAGCCTGTCGAGCAGGTGCTCAAGGATGCGAACCTCAAGAAGGAGGACATTGACGAGGTGCGTTACTTGGGTATTTGGCAGCGATGGTGTTTGACACGTAGATGGGTTTGCACAGATTGTCCTTGTTGGCGGTTCGACTCGTATTCCCAAAGTACAGCAACTCTTGAAAGAGTACTTTGGAAAGGAGCCCTCTAAAGATATCAACCCCGACGAGGCAGTTGCCTATGGTGCTGCAGTCCAGGGTGGTATCCTTTCTGGCGACGAGAGTCTTGGCGACGTCGTCCTTGTTGATGTTTGCCCGCTCACACTTGGTATTGAGACGACTGGTGGTGTGATGACGAAGCTCATTCCTCGTAACACGGTCATCCCGACCCGTAAGAGTCAGATGTTAGTCATGATGTCGCTGTCAGGTGCCTTTGCCTTTTGCTGACTCTTTCGTCTAGTTTCTCCACTGCCGCGGACAACCAGCCTACTGTGTTGATCCAGGTGTACGAGGGCGAGCGGTCGTTGACGAAGGACAACAACCTACTCGGGAAGTTTGAGCTGACGGGGATTCCTCCTGCGCCGCGCGGCGTACCGCAGATCGAGGTAACGTTCGAAATTGACGCGAACGGTATCATGAAGATCTCCGCTGCTGATAAGGGAACGTGAGTGTTGTTTCATCGGATCTATCATGCACCCTTTAACATCTCGAGCAGTGGCAAATCAGAATCCGTAACGATCACGAACGAAAAGGGCCGCTTATCGCCTGAGGAGATCGAGCGGATGGTAAAGGAGGCGGAAGATTTCGCAGCGGAGGACGACGCACAGCGCAAGCGGATCGAAGGGCTGAATGCCCTGTCGTCGTTCGTGTACGGGTTGAAGTCGCAGCTTGGCGACCAGGAGGGTCTAGGTGGGAAGCTGAGCGACGAGGACAAGCGGACGATCCTGGACTCAGTGAAGGAGACGACGGAGTGGATTGACGATTATGGCCAGAGTGCGACGGCGGAGGAGCTCGAGGAGAAGCTTGCTGGTGAGTGGTTGTGCTCGCTTTGGGCCCGTGACCGACATGCTCATGGTACTATCATGTGCAGAGGTGCAGGGTGTTGTCAACCCGATCACAACCAAGCTGTACTCGGGCGGAGGTTCCAGTTACGGGTCGGACGAGGAGGAGGACCCGATCCACTCACACGACGAGCTATGATGCGCTTCATGAGTGACGGTATTCGTAGCATTATTATTCTTTGCATGAGCATCCTGTGGGAGCAAAATAATTATATTCCTCGGCTTTGTGAATAGACGACTGAATTCCTGCGTAAAGAAAATACGCGGAGAATGCGTGCTAGGGTTTTCCGATAGCAGGGCGGTGAAATTGCTTGGCTTCGGCGTGTTCGAAGCAACGTTAGAAGATAAGACTGGTTCGGACAGAGCCGAGTTTAAGGCTATGTTCTGTTGCAACTTCTTGTCCGAGGAAGATTCTTCGCTTCAAGTTCATGAGTCATGGTGATCGTTTCGGATCACCTTTGCCTACATCTAAAAAATCTAGGAATCACGATGTGCCGACTCCAGTGGGCCTCTACAATGTTTATGCCTACCATCTACCCGAATTCTGAGACGAGGGCAACGGCAACGTTGTGCCACAGATGTGTAGGTTTGTTGCCGGGAAGAATGTGAAATAGCGACTCGCGGCCGCTCCTTCGAGCATGGACCACATACATTACTCGATCCTAGAGGTGCGCCGATGAATCTATGACGATGATACCTACTTGCACCAGTGAATGCAGACCCCAAAATTGTGTTGGTATGCTCTTGCTTTCGCCGGACTTCCGTGGACCAGTGGCATGAGTTTAGATTAAGCTCGAGTTCGAGCAGTGCTAGCTGCTTGTCGAACGGCATGGACTTTCTTCTCGGCTTACGAAGCCGCCGCTGCACCGCCATCGGTCGTCGTCAGGTCCTCGGCCCCCCACTCCCAACTTCCGGGCCGTCTCATTCCCAACCCACACGTTCATAGTTTTCCAAGAGAAGAAATACTCTATTGGCAAGAGTGGCATAATCTTGCTTTAATTTCCTAAGCCCAGGCTAGCCGCACGACATGCACACCAGCTGCACACCGAACCCCATTGGCCTCAACCACACCAGGGGCTGCTCGGAGCTGAGCGCTGAGCTGTTGGCGCGGTCTCGCCTGGCGCATCGGCAGGGACCCAAGTATCCTCCACCCTCTACCGTGTCGAGCATCCCACCGAGTCACAGTTCCAAAATGCGTCTATAAAACATCAGTAATGTACAGCGTACGCCCACGCACACACACCGCCCGTCCTCCCTCCACCAATGCACCGCCGCGCGGCTCACACGCTCCGCTCGGACACGCCCGCGTCCAGCTTCTCGTGCGCCCTGTCGTCGGTGTCGAGCGAGCCGCGCCGCGAGTTCGCCGCGGTCTTCTCCACGGTGGCCACCGGGCCCGTGAACCAGTGCACCCCGCCGTACTTCGGGAAGTAGTACCACACGAGCGAGAGCACGAGCACGCCACCAAGCACGACCTGCAGCACGAGGGGGGAGCACGTCAGCGCCAGCACACGCGTGCAGAGCGAGAAGGGGCACTTACGATGGTGTAGTTCATGTCTGCCGTGTCCGTCGTGGGCGTCGTCGGGAAGAGGAAGACGATGCCCATGAACGTCATCCACGCGACCGCGACGAACGCGACGGGCGCGCTGAACCGGCCGAGGTTGAACGGCCCCGGGGCAAAGTCATTGTCCCCCAGGTAGCGCGCCGCAATCGGGATCGCGTAGGCTGCGGGGGCTCGTCAGCGATCCGGGCGCACGGCGAGGGAGACGCGGAGGGCGCGAAACGGGGACGCACCGACGTAGAGCGCGACGATCGAGAGCGTGAAGATCGCGTTGATGGCCTGTGTGCCGGCGAACGCGAGCAGGCCGAGCAGCGCGGACGCGCCGCATACAAACCAGACGGTGTTGACGGGCGTGCCCGTGATGCCGTTCATGCGGTAGAGCCACCCGGAGAAGGGGAGCGCGCCGTCGCGCGCGAATGCAAAGCTCTGCCGCGAGGCTGCGAGCACCATGCTCGAGCCCATCATGTATCTGCATGCGTGTCGTCAGTGTGCGGGGTAGGCTGGCGTCGGGAGGGGAAGACTCACTGCACGAGGACAACGAACGCCCACAACGCGAGCGTGCCCTTCTGGCCGAAGCTATTGAAGAAGATCTGCGCCATGGGCTGTGGGCTGGCCACGATCGCTTCCAGGTCTGTGCCCATGCAGAATGCAAGCGCGACATTGATCGCTGCGCACGAGACAGTAGTGAGTACTGGCGTGAGGGACAGTGGCGGCATGCGACGCACCCCAGCCAAGCACGCCTGCGATGCCGATTGCGTAGACGATCGCCCACGGGACGGCGGTCGCCGCGTTTGACGCCTCCTCGCTGATGTGCACGCTCGAGTCGAACGAGCCTGCACACGCCCATCTAGTCAGCAACGCCGACCCACTTGTTTCCATGATGGCGACACTCACAGATTGTCCATAGCGGCGCGAGGAAGCTCAGGATGAACGCATATCCGTTGGTCCATCCGTTCACTGCACCGCGTCACATTGCGTCAGGAGGCGCGCGAGGGGAGGACAGACGAAAAGGACACACAGTTTGTGAAGTTCCCGAGCGCGTACGATGCGGTGTTGCGGTACTCCTTTGGTGTCGCGGCTGGAAGCGCGATGATCACAGCAAGACACAGTCTGCGTCAATGTCAGCAGACATGAGGGGAAAGTGGAGGCGACAGGACGTACAGGACATTGAGGACGACGTAGACTGTCTGAAGACGGGCGAGGACCCTCGTCCCGAAGCAGCAAATGAACGCGTGTGAGAGGAGGATTGCTGCGTACACGCCGCTACAAGTACGAGACGCATATAGTCAGCTCGCACGGACCGAAGGGAGCCGATGCAGAAGCGGGACGCACTAGGTCTCGCCGCTCGTCGCGGCAAAGGTCTGGTTTGGCGAGCCGATGTTCGCCGCCGCCTGTGGTTCCCATGCGCAATGGGCATGTATGAGTGGGACGACTAGACGAATGAACGGAGGACGCACCATAACTTGCACCGCACACCCCCAGTCGATCGACGCGACGGATGCAATGGAGCCGATCGTGTTAGCGTCTGCACGCGGTGGTTAGTCACTCTGCACACCATATGCACCGCCTGGTATGTCGAGCGGGACGGGAAGAGCACGTACATCCAACGATCCACGCGAGGAGATTCCGCCAGCGCGGGGAGGAGAGCGAATGGGTCCAAAAGTACAGCTGTGCAAGCCAGCGATGTCAGTTGGGCGAGATATGAGGGCGATGGGAGGAGCGTACCCCGCCGGAGGTGGGTGCTGCGGAGGCGAGCTCGGCCATGGCCATGCCGACGATGAGGATGAAGAAGCTTGCGACGACCCACTGGCGGGAGGGCAGGCCCCGGTTAGCATGCAATGCGCAAGTGAGGGCGATGGCGAGAGACGCACCCCCCACACCATCGCTGACGCGCCACCATTGGGTATCGAGTCGGCGAGGACAGAGCTGCGGCGGGGAGTGGCTTAGGGAATCTGCGGAGATAAGAAAGACGAGAGGACGCGACTTACGCGATGGATGGGAGGAGCCCGATGATGCTGAATGCGATCCCGAATACCTACACACGGCCGACGCCTGGTCAGGTTTCGACGGAGGAGCAGAGCTGTGGGAGGCGCACCTCGAGGCCACTGAACTCGCGGCGGAACTCCTGCTTGTAGCCGAGGCTGGCGAGGAGGGCCTCGTCTGCGGCAGCGATGTTGGCTCGGGTGCCGGAGCTGCCCTGTGCTTTTGCTTCGGGGTCCATGGTCATCAGAGTCGTGAGAGAGAGAGACTCTGGGTGGGTGCGCGCTCGACTCGACGAGGGAAAGCGCGGAGAGGTCGACAGGGAAGTGATAGGACTCCGAGCCGCGGTGCACGCTACAGACGCGCTGTTCTTATCTGCTCGAGAGCCGCCGAGGAGTCTGCAAGGAGCCACCGTGACATCTCTGCCGCATCAAATGGGTCTGGGGTCGACGCCCCAAGAGCACGGATGGACCATCACCGGCACCACCAATGTCCAGCCAGTGGTAGTCGCTCGCATAGATAAGGCGCGCGCGCTCCAACGTGCACGCTGTGCTGGGAATCGAACAGACACAGCCGGTCGGGCCCGGGACCATCCCAGGCCCCGACGCTTCGCTAGGTACGCGAGGGCGTCTTCCTCCCGCGACATGGTGCGCGGCGAGGAGAGGGCCAAAGGCGGCGAGCAGCGCGCGGAGGATGGCCACTGACGACTCCAGATATTCTCAGATTCATCCTCGATCATGGAGTCCCGCCTATCTCAGATCTGCGATCCCGCCGCAGGCCTCGCGAGCATGTGCAGCACCCCACATTCGACTCGGCCTACTACAGCTACCGCTCGATGGTATGCTCCCTTTGTGTCGCTGTGTAGACCGTGTCATTACGTCGAGCAACTTGCAATAATAATAATAAAAACATCTCTACATTACATCGGACTTCGTGCACTCTGGAGTCTGCCCGCAATCCTGCAACATGATATCTGGGCCATGCTGGCTCCCGAAACAGAATGGACAAGCCAGATACCGGCCAGGTCCATCTTCCGGTTCCATGTAAATGCCGGTACCGCCCGCGCTACTAGTGATGCTTCCGCAGCCCCCGGATTTCCGCGCCCATGTCGAGCGCACGGCGTCCCTCCAGCCACAGCATCGCCTCTGAGATAGGCCGTCAGTACGCCACTTTTCTAGGAACAACAACATCGCGCGCACCTTTGTATGTCTTCGGGACAACCTTTCGTGTGAGGGGAATGCTGCGATCAGTGCACCACGTGAACCGGAAGTCGTTCGTCGTCTGCTCCTTCCCCGTGGAGACATCGACAACGTTCGCCTGCACGCCGACGTGCTGAGCGCGATGTGAGTTTACATCATATGCGGGAGAGCGCAGCGGAACGCACGATGAGCCCGGGAAACTGCTCGGACGAGGAGGTGTGCAGGATGTGCGAGGTGAGGCGCAGGATGGACCCGATCGGCACAGGCTTCGCGAACGAAATCCCGTCGAGCGAGACAAAGAGAACGTGACACCCGGTGAAGAGCACAGAGTTCGCGAACCCCAGCTGCGAGCACGGTCAGCAGCGAGCACCTGCAAGTGGACACACGTTCCGTACCTCATACGCCAGTCGCATCAGATACCCTGCATAGTGTCAATCTCGCGGAACACTCTGAGGAACGCCGGGACCGTGCTCACCACCAAAGATTTTCTGATGCACACTGGTAGTGGTCATTCAGCACGGAGCCGGTATAAGAGGTGAGTGGGGGTAGGGTACGCACTTGCGCTCTTGTGGGAACATCATCATGCACTTCTCAAGACGCGTGTCGCCCATCCAGACCCGCTGCTCGCCATCGGGCCCAACAAAATCGCCGTTCTCGTGCTGGCCGTACTTTAGGAACAGCGAGTGCAGCGATTCCGCCTCGCCCGACGTTGGTGGGACGCGCGTGAGCGCAGCGTTGGCGGCGGACATGCGCCGCTTTCGGTGCGCTACGAGACAGGGTCATGGACTCATCAGCAGTCCAAGCAGGGGATGCGCCAAACAGAATTGGACAGACCATCGCCGATGTCAAAGAGCTTCTCATCCTCGAGACTGTCGATCTTCAACGGGTTGACGGGGACAGCCTTGTGTGTGTGTGCGTCTCTGCAGACCATGACGAAACGACCTGTACGAGGACATGAGCGTGCGATTGATCAACATGCGCATGTGCAGCATACCGAGCATGATGGTCTCTTCCCGCCCATCTTTCTCTAGCGCCTCCATCCGGACGACAATCTCCATCGAGCTCTTTCCCGTATGGATGACCTGGCCACTCAGGCGCATATCGCGGACTGGGTACAGTGCCGCCAGCATATCGAGCCTGCGGTCCGTGATGAGCACCCACGTACGCCGCTCAGCCAACCCGCGGCAGCTCACCTATCTACAGATGCGGTCACGATGTAGAACCCCACGTCCTTCCCGAGGGTGTCCACGCCCGGACCGAGCATATGCTTGTATGCGATGCCTCCAGCCAGCGAGTCCAGGTGTTCCATGAGCATACCAGTGCGAATTCCGCCCGAGGCGTTAGTGTAGCGCTCGAGGAGCTCCGGGGAAGAGGCGAACGGGAGGAGCAGCTCGCAGTACGACTCGGACATGTTCCGCGGAACATCGGGGGCCGTGCGCGTGCTGCGGGCCGTGTTGGGGTCGGCTGTGCTTGGCGGGAGGGAGTCGCGGAGCAGGGCCTCGGACCAGAGGATGTGCGAGCGCATGGGCATGGCGCTGAGCGGCAGGTCGGTCAGTGTATGCGTAGCGGCGACGGCAGACTC